AATTAATTCGATTTATTGATGTCACTCGAGCAGCTCTACGCATGAACTTTGGAAGGATTTCTGTACTATCAACAACTTTTTTTCTCTTCTTCGCCAGTTTTGCTGTTGTCATTGCCGGGTTTCAGTACTCACAGATACGTTATGCTTTTTCCGATGAAGCTTTTCCTCACCTTCATCAAGTGTCATTAGTATTATTCCCGCTGATGGGGAAACAGGGAGGGTAACAGATCGGTAACAGACCGGACTGATAATACAGGTCAGAGTGAAAATCCGAGGCCCTGACTCTGCCTCCTCTCTGACCAGCAGCATAATAAAAAAGGACACAAATCCCCAGCTTTTTTAAAGTGCTTTTCACAAAGGAGCTGCAGAGGAGGGTGCAACTACCCCCTGTAACTTAGCATGAATCTAGAATTAAATATACTGGGTTTTAAAGTTAAAAACAAAAATCTAATGTGAAACTACCTGATACAATAGGTCCATTTCTCCTTGAATTTTCTCCTGTGAATTATCTTCTATTTTTAGGTCTTTTATTTTTAGGCTGCTGCATACTATTGCTGGGCAACTCGACCAATTATTAATTGGAAATGTTTTGCTTCTCCTGCACTTTTCTTTCTTTGCTTTCTGAACCACTTAAACCAAACTGTCCTCCGAGGAGATGACAGGCTATGGAGAGCACATTTAAAGGACAGTTACGAGCTGTGCTCTTCGGGTGCAGCGTGGCACTATTATAAACCTTTTGCTGTTCTCTCCTCCTACACCTGCGTATGTTTGTGTCTGTGCATGCATTTTTCTTAAGCCATGTCAAACTTTATAGAGTATTGGGGCCATATGGCAGCAGTTCAGCAAGCTCTCAGTAAGCAGCCGAGATTAAAAGACTCCCTGAGCACAGTCGGTGGAGTCCCGTGACAATATCCATGTGCCGTATACGGTGCTTGGTCATGACAAGTTGGTCCAAATGATCTGACGTGGGGAGGGGTGGGAGCTGGAAAGGTACTGGCAAGGTACTTCATGGCTGCTGGTCCCCGCGTTTTCGGCAGCTGCGTTAGGGACTTCGAGGTGCTGTGCCACCCAGCCAAGTTCCAAGCTGAACTTACGAGAGTGGTACATGCTCATAACCACTATTTTTAACACTATTGTCACTACCTTTCTAAGTAACCTAGACAACAGTAAAAACCTCATTTCTTTCCAGTTTCAGAGCGCTACTACACTAGTTTGAACTACTGTTTGAGCTGAAGGCAGCAGCAAAGCACAAGTCGGGAAAAAAATCAGCCTCCGTTCAACAGGCACTTTATTTAAATGGACTTAACATTTGCTGGGATATTTAACTCGGCAAAGCTCACATGCCTTTGCAAGCTACCACTTTAAAATGCTAGCTAAAAATATTTGTGTTATCTGAAGTCAGATGAATAAATCCTCCCTACTGCTGGGTACACAGTGTGGCAGTGTACAATACAACTGCAAATTTATTTGTTAGAAACTGTACATCTGTTATGATTTGCGCTTGCCAAAATATAATTCTTTATGGCAACAATTGTTTCATGGTGCTTAAAGTTTTTCACCTCTGCGCCAGGAATCTCATATGGGATAATTCCATGACCTTGGAATCCAGCAGATACATTCCACATCTGTCTGGTCTGGGAAAGCCCAAGTTTGTTGTGTGAAAACCAGAGTGGGAAAATAAGACCTGAAAATATCTGAAAATACAGAAACTGCAGGGCTGCTTTTTTTTCTTTTTTTTAATTACTAGTTTCAAGTGCAGTAAATCAATCTCACAGAAGTGGTTACTTTGCTTTTGTAAGCAGACATTCACTTCTGATCCTATCTTTAAATTAAGGAATATGGTATAAACATTAAAATAATTCTATCTCTGGAAAATATCGCAGCTTCAAACATTAAAACTAAATCGTGTTCAAGACTGTTTGAGATTTACATGGAAAAGCACCCAACCTACTGCAGGTAAACATCTTACTGGTGCCTGTGAAGATATAAGACGGCAGAAAACCTGTAGCTGTCCTGGAATCTCAGGGTAATACTTCTCTCATTAGACTTTTTGACAAAAAATGAACCATAAACAGCTTTGTGAGCAGTGAACTTAAACAGCCCTTGTTTCCTGTGACTCTTCCCTGTGCACATTTTCTGTTATTCTAATAATCTGGCTGAGCTCCTGCTGCAGCCCTGCTCTCCATGGGGCACTGTAGCATTTTCAGTCACACAGCCTGCACCTCAGATAAGCCGCACCCTGCTACGATCTGTGCAACACTGGAGATCCGATGATGGACAGAAAGCCATGAAAAAAAGGTTATACTAAGAAAAAAGGAGAAAAGGTCAATGTGCCTGCTTGACAGAAGGGGGGAGACTAAATATTCTTGTCCATACTAACCAGGATGATATTTCTGGTTTAAAGCAAGAATTGCCGTTCCAATCATCACTGAGGCTGGAATTCTCCCTTTCAAAAGGGTTCAATGGTTGCACTGCAGTCTGTAAATCCTGAAGATGCCAATTCCCTTACAGGCTACATTCTTCTGCAGGACCAATACACTTAAAAGATGGTATTCCAAAGGGATGTCACAGAGGAAGACAGCATTGCAGGCTAGCCAGAAACAAATAACTTTTTTATGAAGTTCATATAAAGCTGTGCTACCAATTTAAAATCCATGTGTAAGTTCTGGGTGTCTTAGAGAAGCTTTTATGATAGAAGCCACAAGATCCCACTTGGAACCAGTATTTGTGATGCTGGTGCACCACAGCTTTGTAAATTGGCAACTGATTCGTCTAAGGCATGCCTTGAATGACCATGATTTATAATAAATGAATACCTTGCCCAAAAATTCTGTGGCAAAGTTTAGCTTTGTTCTGATGGACATACTGTACTCCAAGGCAGGCTACATTCTGGTCATATATGAAATGGTTTCTGCATATATAGAAGCCAAACAAATTGGCTGCATTTCTAGTGTTTTGGATTATAAGGCCACAAACATCAAAAAGCATATGAAAGAAGCTGATGGCTTTTCAACATATTGTGACAACAAAACAGCCAAAACTACTTTCAACCAGTTTGTAGAATGTGTTCCTGGCGGCTCACATCAGCTCTCCTGCAGAAAAGTTTAAGATCAAAGATGTAAACTCCTGTGAAAGCAGGTTTAAAATACAAAGCTTAACCTATGTGTAAGCAGGCAGAAATCCTACTGCAGCACAAGAAGTAGTTGATACTGCATGTTGACTCTTTAGTGCAGAAAAATACAGGCAATTTCTAAGGTGAGAAACTATGATGGATTTATAGTGGAACGGTGAGGTGAGCAGATTATGCAGTATGCAGTGTTAATACTTTTCTACCCATTCAAGCCTCAACAGATATTTCATCAAGAGGGGGAAAATAAAGACTCTTGGTTATTCTTAAGCAAGCTGCCAATTTTCCACATGGGATTCGATGTCTAAGTAAATCAGGTTTTCCTAGTCTCATGCTGCTGCAAGGAATAAGAGGACACTTGGTAACACTAGTAGAAACAAAAATTTCATATATCTGAAAAAAAGGTTTTCTTTCCTGAATTTTTCTTATATATTAAATATCTTGTTAACAAAAAAAATTTCCTATATAGTATCTAGTCTCTTTTATTCTGACACTATTGTTTTGAACAGGCAAAGCTCATCACATATTTAAAGTTCCTAAAGCGTCTGTGTGATATATAGGTGCAATTATTTGCACTGACAATTCTGTGAGCATCAGAAGAGAAACTGTGTTCATAAATCAAATATGTATTTCCAACACTTAAGAGAAAAGCAAGAATGGAATTTTAAGTGTCAGATACTGATTATGAACCAAATTCTGGCTGCCTTGGATAAAGGCACCTGTCCAAAAATCCACAGATAAGGAGCAAGCAAAGAAAAAACTGTTGGCCTCTAAACCATTTGCAGTGGGGGCTGTACAAGCCCTTTATCACCTGAGCAGGGCAGGGTCTCTTTCCTCCTAAATCACATCACAACGCAGCAGCCGGATGGAGCCAGAGATGTGTTCTGTGTACATACAACTGGATCCCAAGGCAACAAGATGATGTCAGCTTCCTTACATCTGTCTGACCCACCTCCTCCCACAGCAAGGGATTCAGACTACCTCCTGGGTCCTGTGCCACCACTGCCTTGTTACTGGTCATGCAACATCTGGCCTGGCATGCGCACTTGAACTGTCACCACACGGCCACATGTTGGTCACTACCAGGCTACAGATTTGTGGATGGATGCTCACAGCTGGTACTGAAAAGCTCCTACTTCAATACACACACAATCATATCCTAACGGTGTCTTGCTATTCTTAGTCTGAGTGTCTCTAAAAACTTTTCATAACTTGTTATATCACAGCACCTAGATATTTGTATGAGATACCAAGGATCCAAATATTTATGTCAGAGAGGAAGGAAAAACCCCATCAGCATCTGTTTGCAGAAGTGAGATGGTAGAACTGAAGTGTCAGATAATCTCCCAAAAAGATGTCAGCATTTTCAGCTGCCTGACAGATCTGTCTGCCTGTGTGAGAGTAAACAAGAAAATGGCTTAGCCATTTGGACTGAGTTTAAGGCAAAACAAAAAACAAATTACCCATTTTCAGACCAGCTCTCCTGCTCCAGTTTACAGATGTTCGTTGGTGATTTCCCCTGTAAGTCCCTTTGGGAACAATGATCAATGCACTGTGTGGTTGGCCAGCCTGGTTAAAGTACTGGCAATTTAAACAAGAAAAATCTCATGTAGAAAACAAACTTTCTAACAGTATAGACACTAGACACGACTCAAAATTCCTCTGCATCTTCAATTTACTGGAAATTAGGGATCTTTCCACTTAAGACATTTCCATGGAACTGGTGTCTGAATTCACTGGAATTTTGAGCAATGATTTGAGTGGGGTTAGTTCAGATTTATGCTTAAGAGATTAAACTGAACCCAAATGTCTTTCATATGAAGCCTTGATCTTCACCAGGAAACAACGGAGTTTATCAGCATGCCAGTCTTACCTCTGTAATAATGAAGAAGTCATCACCAGGCTCTCCCTGCACAACAATTTTTTCTCCGTCTTCAAACTGGACAGGTTCCAGTGCGTCAGCCACTGTCAGCCGCTCCCATTTGTCCAGGGACTCTAAAATATTGAAGATCATAAAGCTTTATTATAAAAAGACTCTAACTTTGGCTGAAGATTCGTATCTAAACTGACAGCTCTGCTGTGCCTGGTTCTGTTATAAAAGAAACATTTCTTTCATTCAGGCACTTTGCATGCACCTCCAGTTGGGAAACATGAAGGTATTTATTCATTGTGTCTTAGACTTTAGTAATCACCCAGATAATAATCTTAAAAGTTGGACAGGAAAAGTTGGCTCCGGTTCCCTCCGCCTGCGATCTGATCTGTGCTGCCCTGATGCTGCAGCAGACCGGAGCAGCCAAGGAGCTGCTTGGAGACAGCAGCGATACGGGAGCGCCGAGATCCTCTCTCGCCACGTCCCACACCAGATGTCAGAACAAGTCCTACTGTCTTTTCGTCAGAGGTGCTCTCAGCTGGGTGCTGATGGCCTGCTAGATAAGCGATGTGAAAGTGCTGATCTGAAAGATGACTCTTCGCCCGTGGGTGAGATCACACAGCCCTGAAGCCAAGGGCGAGACCCCGGCAGCAGGGGTGACCAGAGGCTCAGCACAGATGTTTGAAGTGGCACCTCTGTTTCACTTGCCAGTGGGATGGCTTGCAAAGTGTTTTCCTTTTCATTCCCCTACTTAGAAAGAAAAGTTATAAAACTTCAGTAAGAAAATATTAACGGTGTGTTTTATGAGTAATGGAGGTAACACAGCCTGGTTCCTGCACCTTGGTGTCCTATCACCCACCGGCAGCTGTCACAAGCTCCCCGTGATACTCACATGGCAAAAGACAGGCTGCGCAGCTGAGGGTCTGGGGCTGCTCGCTGTCCCGCCAGCTTCCCCCTCCTGCCTTTGCTAAGGGATGAATTTTACCTGTCCTGCCCTCAGGGAGAGGAGGGGTGACAACCTGTGTCACTCTCCTCTAGCCATTTGCATGAGGATCCAAGACAATGAATTCTACTTGAACTTCTGTACTTTTATCAGATTTGACGGAAGGAAGTGGCAGGTTTAAAAGTTATTAAAAGAAACACATAATACAATGATATAACCTTCACTGCCTCAAAAAGCTGGGCTAAAATTCATGTACTAGAGCTCTGCTTATTGTTACTTATTGTGAATTATTGACCTATTGTAAGGTAAGACACAGCTCCTGACGCCAGGATTAGATCTGGGCTGTTCTCTCAGACTCTAGTTTTCCCATTTTGTTCAAAATATTGCTTAGAAGTATTGCGTGAGGGTGAAGGAGTTGTTCTTTAAAAGCTATAAAGCCTTTTGGCTGAGCTTAGAAGTGAACACTGAGTCTGGTAACAAAACCAGATTGGAGTGATTGATGCACCAAAGGGGAGTTTTGAGTTGCCTGACACACATACGTCTTCATGGTTTTATGCCACTTTGTGTCGCTGTTTGGGAAGTGATTATTTCTAATATTTTCCCCACCTACAATCACTAATACACTTTCCTGGTATATCTGTGGCCTTTGCTGCAGAAGTATTAATATCAAAGACCAATATTGACCATATTGTCAATGCAACATTCAGAAAGTGCTCTGTTTGACTAAAAATAAGCACCAAACTCCTTCATACAGACTAAAGTAGGCTTTTTTTTTTTAAAAAAAAGAGAACTCGATAATTAACAATGAAAAGAAAGAGTCTCTTGAAACTTCTTCAGTTGGCATTATGAAAAATTCAAGCTAATTCTATCTTTAGTCACGAAGTGTCTCTCTTTTGTCTAAGGGAATTGTATCACTACAAATACATTGGTTAATGGTTCTTGAAAACAGAGCATTATATAGAAGATCGTACATGATAAAATTCCTAAAGTTTTAGTTGCAGAGTTAAAGTCAAGCATCAAATAAAGTAGGCCATATGCAATTCTTTGCCACTTGGAAATTGTACATATCAATTCGTGGTTTTACATTTAATTAAACTCCAGAAGAAAGATCTTAGACAATTAGTTTTCTCATAGCTTGTTCAATACACTGTAAGCAGCTACTGATAATCTAAAAAAATCTTTAGATTTTTTTTTTAAAATAATTGCTCTTACAGTTATATGGCTATCTACAGACCACGCAAGCCTTGAAAAAATATATATAAGATGCAGGCAGAGTTTTTTCCACCATGAAATTACCAAGTTCTGACCACATTAAGGCATGAAGTGAAGTAAACTTCTCAGTGCTGCGCTGAGATTTCTGAAACACCTTTCTGTTTCCCAGCTGTCATCTGTTTTGTTGACATGTGAAATAAATCCTTACACATTTCACCTAAACCCTCGGTGCTCCTGAAACGGTGCGTTATTTTGTCGGGTGCTTTTTCGTACTTTAAAAAGATTCAAATCTTGAAGTCCTGCCTCATTTTTTACTGAGACTGAAAAGCCATACTACAAAATAGGGTATAATTATATTGCAAACTACATGTTTAAGAAAGCACATCTTTGAATAACCTTTCCACTCTGAAATTGTTTGGAGATGTCTCATTGTTGTAATTGCTTCTCATCAGTGCAGGTGCAGAGATCCTTTTTTCTTGAAATACTAACTGTAATTTGGTATAATTTGTGCTCTTAATTTAGGAAGATTTAAATTAAGCACAAAATAAGGCATTTAAATGATGAAAACTTTATTAATAAGTGCGCAACATACTTGGCCTTACTTTAAGCATACAAATGTAATTGAAAATTTCATGCATAGCACTTCTCAGAAGTTCAAGTATATTTTCACTAGGGCTCTCATATTTCAGGTAAATAAGCTCAAATGATAGAGGAATACCACAAACAAGAAAAGCAAATTGTTTAAATAGAAATATAAGTATTTTAATTATATAGCAAATTAATCATGTACTTTTTTTTTTTTCCCAGAATAGCCTTGGCAGAAAAATGGTGTTTATCCTACAGCATCAACAATTCATTGTACTAACACTGTCCTTCTTATTAGAAGCTTTTGTTCTCCTAATGGTGATTGATTGTTCAGGCATTATGGGGTGGTTGTTTTTCCTACTGAGGGCCATCAAAAACATGTCCAAATTTCGTGGTTATCACATTAATCAAAGGGTAACAAAATCCAAGGACAAGAAGCTAAACAGATGTTTTAGGAATGTGAGACAGGGGCTGTAAAATACACAGAAGGAAAAAAAAATTACTGAGTTTTGATTTGTGAGGTTAGTTTGTTTAGTGCACATAAATACAGTATTCTCACAGGAAAAAGCTTCTCACCTGCCTACCTGGAAGGATGTAACTAGACTTTATGACAAATTCAGATCTCTGCACTGCTTGCTTCTCTATCCATCTGACCTCTACTGCAACAGCAGCTACCAAAAGGTTACCAGTGCATGCCTGCTCCCATATTTAAGGAAAGATTTGCCCTTCAAACAACCATTCAATGCATATTAAAGAATGAGAAAAACAAGTCCTAAAAAGGACCCTTTACGCTTTCATTCCTGCAGAAACGACACAACCGTGAGACCTTCTGTTTGACCACCATTGCTTTCATCGTGCCACCAAAGACGAAAACGCGTTCTGCCAACACATACAGCAGAGGAACTAACAGGCAAGTCCAAAGGGCAACTGACCCAAAATGGAGACCTTGCTCAGGAATTCTTCATACATCTTCCGCTTTCTCAGCGTGCTGCCCTGTTATTAAAGGAGAGAGAAAAAGGAGGTAGAACATTACACAAAGTGTTTTTGTGATTTCTTCCTACAGCTGCTCTTTTTTTCCCCTCCCCTTCCAAATCTTAAGCATAGCCAGTATAAACAGCCTACGGCAAATGTTTCCCCATAAAATGTCTGGGCAAGTTGTATTGCTGATAAGCAAAGACAGAAGGAATCAAATTCAATCCTGGTGTAATTTCACTGACTTCACTGGTGTTACCAGACACCGTGGATGAATTGTATCCATTATTTACAGGCACTCATTTTAAAGCCAGAGCTTCATCAATTAACTGTTTAGCTAATTCAGTATATATCTTGTTACCAATGAGGCCCTACTAGAAGGGAATTTACAACTACAAAGTAAGATAAAACTTAAAATGTCCCCCTCATGGGTCCCAATCTTTTAGGTTAAAACCTCTTTAATGCCAAGAGCATTTATCTGTAAGCCTGGTTTATATTCTGTTTGGTTTTCTAGGTACTGTTGCTGCTGAGAGCAACCTATTCATGTCGTTATTTTAATAAGATTTAAGCATTTTGGAGCAGACAATCCATCAACGTATGTGCTGCCACCAGCACAGTCGTTTCCACTCTGCTAAGATTTTATTGCATGATAAACTACCGAGAAACCTTCTGCTTACATAGTGTTTGATAACCATAGACAGGAACCGTAAGCAGCCATTCCAGCATGCACTTTTGAAGGAGATTCAGGTATGAATAAATACAACGCAGTTTTACCAATGCACAAATAATTAATTTGTTCTTAACTCCTTCTGCAGTGACACAAATTACTTGAAAAGAAAATCTTCCCAGGTACCAAAGAGGAACTCCAGGGTCTTCCTTGGTACCGTGCAGTTTATTCCACACCGTTCTATGACAGCCCGCGTCATTTCTGCCTGGGTAGATTCCCCGTGGAAGTTGAAGGCTGCCTGGTGCCTGCTAATCAAATCTGTAAGGCAGGAGTGCAGCACAAAGATGATACAGTCGTCTTCTGAAGAAAGGGGAAATAAAGATGGCATTTACTCATGGGCTGGGCAGAGAAGACAGAAGCAAATGTCAGTGTCTGCCACAGAAAAAGCCACTTCTCTATTCCTCCTTCTCCAAGTGAGCACTGGTAAGTGCTGGAAGCAGAGGCAGAAAGTGGGGATAAAGAAAGGAAAAGGAGAAGAATCATTTTACGCTCCACAGTGAAAGCATTCAGAAGTGCTTTAAGTGTGAAAATGGGAAAGGCTTGTGTACTCAAGTGAAATGATGTAACTAAGAACTAAACAGCATGCCTCTTCCTACACGCGTCATAATCAACGACCACCAAAGCAACATAAATCCTCCCACCAGCACCAACAGGCTTTGGTTCCAGCTTGTGACTGTAGCACCAGCAGAACCTGCCGGGTGCTCTCCCCTTGAGACAGCTCCCATTTGCTCTGTCCCCTGGGGCCAGCCCTGCTCCGGAACGGCCGCAGCACCGTCAGGAGCTGCCACGCTTCCCAGGTATCTCCGGGTCAGCACGGCACCAGCTACCGAGATCTCCTCCTCAGCACACCGTTCATAATTTCCAAGTCTGGTGATGACAGTTCGCCTCTCAGCGATAGCATCAGTAACCCTCGTCTGACCTCTCTGTCTGACAAACCTGGTTCTCAACCTCGGGGGCCCTGAGAGCATTTGAAGTGCCAGAAAGGAAGAAAAAAGAACTTCAAACGGAGAAGGCTCTGCAAACCACGCCAGATCCTGACAGCTCGCTGTGAGACAAAGAATGGAAAACTGGACACTGCGCAGTTGTTGCTTTCCTCCCTGCAATCTGGTGGAAATGAGACCAGAAAAATTGACAGCTATGGAAAACCACATTGGTGGTTTAGTTTGATGGGCTGGGGCACACAGGGACAGATGTGGAAAATGCTTTTTAAATGACTTGCGGACACAGATGAATTTTAAGAAGCAGTAATCAGTAGCCATAAGTGACGCCTGACCACAGCTTTGAGTATTTAGAGATGCAGGCAAGACCCAGGAAGGTAAGATTTGCAGGCATCCTGCCTGGCCCGGACAGCAAGAGCCCATCACTTCCTACAGGAAAACGGGTGTGTTATGTCTTGGCTAAACTAAGCCAGGGCAGAGACACAGAATTCACCATGAAGACAAATGCAAAAGAAAAACTGAAGTGGAAAGAATTAATTAAGTGTGCTGTTATAATTTTTTGTATTATGATAGCATCTAGAACCTCAGTGGGACTCCACTTCATGCATGGCTACACTGTCTTAAATGTCGCTTGTCTCAGAATGATACCACAAAGGTAAGGTGGAACAAGAGCCTAGGGAAGAACTAGTGGTTGAGGCTTAGCAGTCCTATTTACCAGCACCTGCACTGAAACCCAAGGTGACCCAACCGATGGCTCATGACTCAACCTGCAGGATGGCTCCAGCCAACCCTCCATCTCTCCCGGAGGAGACAAACCACTGCCTCCAAGGTGGCACGAGCCACCTGACAGCAGAGCTTCACCCAGGGCTTCCCAGGGAGGCACAGAAGCCCTCTCTACACTTTCAGAGCCCATGAGGCTGGATCCCAGTCAGCGCAACCAGTTCCCAATTTCTCTTCCAGAAAGAAGCTTGGCTCACCCTCACTCACATTGTTTTCACTTGCGTATGTTTTCCTGCTCGAGGTTTCACAAGCAGAATGAGGGGAAGAGATTTTGAGAGAACGCTACTCTAATACAAGCTAAAAACAACCCAGCATTAGAAATCTTACAAGCAACCAAAGCATGTGCTTATTTCCATCGGTATTAATCATCTTTTCCTCCCCATGAAACAGAGAGAGAACATGCCCACTACCCACGTTCCTTGATCAGCCTAATATTCCCGTCTCATCCCCTCCCATAGGCATAATGTCACCTGACTTCTGATGTCCTTTTCATACTTGTTTTATTTAGTGTAGTCACTTTACCCAAATTGTTGAGGCCACAGGTATGAACACCATCACAACCTCTTCTCCGACCCTTCAAGTCATTTCTGCAGAAGTGTCAACCAGTGTGCTCCCTGGGACATATGCTACGTCTGTTCTTATGCAATATTTTCATGGATCTTCTAGAAGCAGCAACAAATCAGACAGTAATGATACCTGCAGACTAGGAGATACTATGCAAGCTTGCCAGGACAGGAAAATAACAAGAAAGGACCTGGAGACATTAGAAATGGGAATAGCAAATAATAGAACGAGCTTCTGTTTTGAAAATATAGATAAGAAATGCAAACAAAAAAAATACCGAAAGCACAGATGTTTGACGAATGGAAGAAAACTGGAGAGTTGTAAAGCTGAAAGAGATTTACAGACAGTAGGTGACACCTGGTTTGCAACATCAGATTGCAACAAGAATACAGCCAAGGCTATTTTGATCTGTGTACTCAAAGACATCATCCAGGAATGAAGTTTAGAAGCTCCATCTCCACAGCTTGGAGGTGACGGCACCTGGCATGATACACACTGTCTTGGTACCTCTTCTCCCGAAAAGTGCTCCCAAACCAAACAGAGCCTGAAGAAATGCTAACACACTTGGGAAGAGCCAATAAGGAAGGAGTAAACCAAATTCAGCCTGCATATGTTAGCTCAACACTGGGCTCATAGGTATGTCATGCTCATAGCAAGTATGCATTGTTGCAAGGGTTTTAAGTAGACCATGATAACCATCTACAGATATATGACAGAAAGAGAGGGCAATTTAGTACAGCATAACTTGACATAACTCAAAGTAATAGGAGAAAATTAAGAAAATCTAATTTAAGATCAATATCAAAAAGTTTTCCCAACGTAGGAATTATTCTCTTGCAGAAAAGTTTCCCAAGGGAAGCAGTAGAAATCTTACTGCTTGAGCCAGATAAAAACAATAGTAAATGTACATGAATAATTCTACGCTGGCAGGGTTCTTGATGGCACGTTTTAAAAAGGTCTTTATTAATTCTGCTTTTTCTAACCTATTAATTTCTTATTTCAACGGTTGCTGCTTCTCCCTCTCCTCTCTTTCCTTTGTTCACTTTCTCCCTGGTTCCGAGCTGTCACGCACAAGCTCATCTTCTTAAAGACGGTGGTTCCCACTAACTATGAAGACTCGTTAACATTCTAAGCTGCAGCGCTCCTCCCTGAAACAATCCCAAGGAGAAATGAGCTCATTTGCATTTGCCAAATCCATCCAGATAAGAGCTCAAAGCCAGCTTTAGGACCACTAAAAGATGAAGCAGGACCACTAAAAAATGTAGCAAGCCCTAGGCTTAGCTTAAGCAATACACAGGCTAGGAAAAATGAATGCTCCAGAGCTTACAGCAGGTCTTGTTGAATAGGACTGTTGCATCTCTTTTCCAGCTGCCACTTCTTCACTTTCCCTGTTTTCTTCCATTTTTTCTTCCAATTCTTCCAGTCCGGTCTCTGTCTTTCTCCCCCTCTGCTCGCCTCTTTCCTTTGTCCCTCCAGCACTCTTCATGTCTTCTGTCTTGCTTCATTTTTTCAGGTGGAGTTGATTGCATCCTTCCTAGAAATCCTCACCTTCAGTAAGAAGCCGAACAAATGGCTACCGAAAGCCAAAGCACGGCTCAAGTTTCAAATAAAAAGAGTTATCCTGGCAGGAGGTGCCAGAGTGGCCTTCTGGATGGCTTCAGCCCCATTGAATCCCTGTATAAACCTCATGTTGAATGATGCTTTGGGTCTACATTCTTACAGGAGCATGAAAGAAAGAGTCCCTGTGGATACTGGCCATGAAAACAAAATAGCCCGCAAGATCCCAGTGCTATATTGCACAGGTGTTGGATGGATTGCAGGCTTCAGATCTGCTTTATGTTTTGGCCACCATACAACCTACATTTTATGGCAACATGAAGTCCTTCTGACTTTATTTTATCTGAGTAGAAAAAGGCACTTGTTAAAAGAACTTATTCTCAGGTTCAAAACTGTGAAAAGATGGCAAAACAAAGCCAAAATAGCATAAATAAAATGAGGCATAACATTGGGAACTGACTAACCTTGATTTTTCATGACTTGCATACCAATCCCAGTATCAATACAGGCTGGGGGATGAAGGGAATGAGAGCAGCCCCTGCAGAGAAGGACTTCGGGGTACTGGTGGATGAAAAGCTTGACATGAGCCGGCAATGTGTGCTGGCAGCCCAGAAGGCCAACCGCATCCTGGGCTGCATCAAGAGCAGCATGACCAGCAGGTTGAGGGAGGTGATTCTGATCCTCTACTCTACTCTGGTGAGCCCCCACCTGGAGTCCTCTGTGCGGAGCGGGTCCAGAGGAGGGCCACAAAGATGGTCTGAGGGCTGGAGCACCTTTCCTATGAGGAAAGGCTGAAAGAGTTGGGGCTGTTCAGCCTGGAGAAGACAAGGCTGCAGGGAGACCTTATGGCCGCATTTCAGTACCTGAATGGGCCTACAGGAAAGATGGGGAAAATATTTTCAGCAAGGCCTGTTGTGATAGGACAAGGAGCAACAGCTTCAAACTAAAACAGCGTAGATTTAGACTGGATACAAGGAAGAAATTTTTTACAATGAGGGTGTTGAAACACTGGCACAGATTGCCCAGAGGTGGTCGATGCCCCATCCCTGGAAACACTGAAGGACAGGTTGGACAAGGCTCTGAGCAACCTGATCTGGCTGAGGATGTCCCTGCTCACTGCAGGGGGGTTGGGCTAGATGGCCTCTAAATTTCCCTTCCAACCCAAAGCATTCTGTGATTCTATGATCCTATGAATATTACAACTCACTTTCTGTGAGGAAAGTTTGCCAGACAGGCAAAAAGTATTGCAACCCATGCAACTATGCTCTCAGAGCCAGGTATCTTGGACCATGGGAACTAGAGGACAGTTAAACTATCCTGAATCAAGCCTTCTTAAGGAAGAATTTACCAGAAATTAATACTTCAATTGTCCTCAGTCTGGGAACTGAACTGTCTGGGGGATCAATCTGATGTTGGGATACAGACATTTGCTTCTCTGGTATTTGTGGTATTCGCTATATTTAGAATACAAACATTGTACTACCCTCGGACGTTCCCCACTTCCCAATGCTCTTGAATCCCAGTTACAAAGAAGAGAGCAGCAACATTTCAGCAACTGAATTACATGAGAATTCTATGGTAAAAAAATCCTTTGCATCTCTCCAAGAAAAATGTAAGTAAATAAATATAGAATATATACATAAACGTTTGTGTGCTTCTGTGTGCACATCCATAGAACATATACCAAAAAAAATTTACAACGGAGTGAAAAGTATGAGACAGCACAGATAATTTTATGAAAGAAATGGAACACACAGATGGACAGATAATTTGTGAGTGTACTGAGGGGGGAACATGTTGAAGTGTTTTTTTGTAATCCATCTAGTACAATGAATTTCATGGTCTAATACTTTGTCAAGGACTGCAGTGAAAGCCAAGCAATTTCACCGCAAACCCTGACAAAAATAACTACCCCAACATCTCCAGTCATCACAGCTGCTAAAACAAACTTGAATGTGACCTTCAAGCCATCATGGTACCCAAGCTGAGACAATGAAATATAAAGAAATTTATCTGTTTAAACAAATTCCTTTTGGGACAGGCTAAATAATAAATGGACAGCAAGTGTAACTAAAGCCAGCAGGAACTTTTTGCATCAGGCTTTGTCCACCCAGAAAAAGGAAAATCCAAACTCCCCAACCTCCCGAGATGCATTTTACTCATACTATAAACCAGTCAGGATCAATGACACACGTAAGTGGGGAAAACAGCACTAGGCAGAAATAAAAACTAGAAATTACTAAATGCAAAGCAAAGAACCAGCCTGCAAGGAGAAATGAGGTAGAGTCAAGTGTCTTACAACAGAATAAAATGTTTTTGGCAAGTGTGGACCTGAAGGCATGATTTGCAAATGAATATTTACAACTTGAACAAAATTACAACACTAAACTCAGAAAGCATGGGGCTGGTCATGGTCAGAACAGAATGCAGATGAAAGAAAAATCTATGTCGGCTTATGGAGGGGATTTATCTGACTACAAGAAAAAAATGTATATTTGGGAGAAAAAGGTCATTGATCCCTTGGACAGAAGTATTTGCAAACAGAAAATAAAAAAGAGAAACCTGCTTGCCCTCAAGTTTTAAAACCATCTTAAATGTTGTATTTCAAAAGATATCCTAAACATTACCAGCTCTTGTTTATTTCTACATCCAAAATACCCAGCAACTTTCTAGAAACATAAGGTTAGAGGCTAAACGGCAGGAAACCATGCTTCTGGAACTTGAAAGGCAGCTACTACTACGTCTTCAAACTGAGTACAGCAAAACCAGCCATGTAATGGAGTTAGCTTCAAGTATGAAATACAGCCACTGAAACATGATGTAATTAATTCTTAGGCTTGAGGAAATGTGCAGAGAGCCACTGCAATCTGCCCTTACACGAATGCACAGAGACAGGTGTCTTATTTCACCTGCAGCAAAGAAATTATCCATGCTGCACCTAGAAATAAATGAAAATATGACAGAATTCATGTACTCTGGGTGGGTCAATTGCATTCACCGTGGACAGCACTTCAAATTGGACTTTCTCGATACCTGCAGCAATTAATTCACCATGCTACCTGAAATATTTTCTATCTAACTAATGAGAACATGACAATTACACTGTTTGGGTATCTAATGTAATGCAACAGACCACCAAATTTTAATGGCCCCAACTCTAAAAAAACACAAGAAGAGAGAGGGAGAGAAAACGCCTCCATGTTTAGTTAAAGCTCTCATGAACTGCAGAAACTGAACTTGCTGGATAAGGTACAGCAGTCACTGGTTCAGAGAACATGGACAGTAATTTGAAAAGCACTGAGCACTAAACTAGAATCAAGCAGAAGTGTATCCATAATATTCAAGTCGTATGTATGGCTAAAGCTAGCATTAAAAACACAGTCTTTTCCACTTGGGACTTCAAACCTTATTAGTAAAATCCCGTCCCTACATCAGATATCCATCTCCTGAAGGCTGCTATCAGACGGTAATAGACACATCACCAAACCTGAAAGCTCACAGAGTTGGATGATGTTAGGTGCCACTACTATTATCAGCTCTGGAACAGAAATTACCTCTAGGCTACGAGGCCTGTGAATCTGTCCCTTCAATTCTTTAGTAGCAAGGTTACAGGCAGCTGTAAAAAGCTATGCTTTAAAAGTCAAGGAATATGTGGCTCGTCCTGACATTTATTTCCCTCCTATATTCCTCCTCTTTTATACCTTGGATTCCTCCTTGCAGTATGCAGGTTCATCGCACCGGTTATCCCAGACACCACTCCATTGCATCCATGTAGGACGCAGGACAAATAAGTTGACTGTGCCTCTTAAATCTGTTAGGAAATTCTCCTGCTCCATGTTTTAGAAATACCTTGTATAAAGGTCACAGTTACTACTGCCTGCTTCCCCGCACTGGGAAGCATTCAAAAACTATTCATTCTGCTTATCCACAAGGGAGAAGACATTATGCTTTTCATTATTATTCCTCTACTTTGTCTTGGAGCAATCAGGCTGAATATTTTGGGAAATACAAACTTCCATCAGCTGTACTATCCTAGATGTCAGCATGATGTTCTTTTATGTGATAACAGAGCTCAGCCCATGAAACACAGAGCAATGCTTCATATAGACATTGAACAGTCATCACACACTATAAATAAAGATCACTCTTACAGTCTGTTGCTTAAGGACTAATCATTTAAGTGTAAAATCTGCTCAGTACTTTTGCTAATTTTTCTGTTATCCAGGACATCCACTGGATATACAGATGATCTAAGAATGCACATTGTTATTACTATTCTGAGAGAATAGTGTCATTTTCTTCAGATCAGAAAGAAACAACGCAGCTTTTAGAGACAAGTCCTATTGAGAAAGCAGCTTTACATAGTTACGTCTGTTAATTATCAAAAAGAAAGGAATGTTTTATGAAGAAGGAGAATATGCACATGGACTTCGGAAACAAACTCATAAAAAAACATTATGACAGTGCTGAAGTTAATTTTCTGTCCAAGTTTCCATTATAAACTCACCACTCCATAACCAACGGCAAATCAAGAAGCTAGCACAGACCCCAGGTGCCCAGGTCTGTTGAGCTTTGCTGCAGAGATGAGGGAGCTTGCAAGGAGCAGCGGAATGAATCATTAGCAGGGACTCTGCAGCTACCATCCTATGATATGTGTGGCTGTGTGCTGGCTAACGAAGACAGAGGGCACAGCCCAAACAAGACTTTTTATTTCTTAGTGGAGCTCAATTTACCGTGTATTACCTGCCTTGAAGAGTACAATACAAGTTCAAAGACTTCATAGGCAAAGAGTAGTGCTGAAAGACATTTTGAGGTTCACGATAAGGAGAAGATTTGCATAGCTTCGGTGGGTAATAGAGGCCTCCTGAGGTTTTCATTCATGTATAACAGTTATGCGTAATGTTATTCAATTGCATTTCTGACTCAGCGTCTTTCTACTGAATCTTGTCCCCTTTTCTTTCAGTTCACTTAATTTAGCTACTCAATGTTACTGTCACGTCCTCTCTCTTTTACGTAGAAACACAGACTGCAAAGCATCCTACCACCAATGAACTCTGAACACAGAATAGAAGTGCTGGTGCTACAAAAGAAAGTAAAAAATATCAAGTCCATAAACAAGCCCTTCTCCATAAACTTACCATTAAAATGCGCCTGTAGCTGTCTCTGTCGATGCCCCAGAGCTTGAGATCTGTCTTGGCCTTGACGGTGGCGGCCCGGGGTGTTCCGTAGATCAATGCCAGTTCCCCAAAGCTGCCTCCTTCTCCAATGCTGGTGACCAACTCCCCATTGACATAAACCTACCACAGCACATGACAAAATAAGAAGCAAAACCAGACTGGTGACTTAGTTGCAGTCTTCCTCCTGCTGCCAGCTACCTAAAAAGCTATTAGCAATTTCCTTTCTAATTGTCAGTGCTGGGGACACAGAAGGAAAACAAGAGCGTAACAGTTTCCGCAGTTGGTCCCCAAAGAGGGCAACAACCCACTTTGTGGACAGAATTTCAAGTCATCTTGCTTCAGTACAATGACTGTATTTACTCTCCGAGTTTTCAGCTCCCATGGTTAACTGGCATCGTGTTTTCCCTCTTGTGTTCAAGGCTCAGACAATCAACAAGCAGAACTGTCACAACTTTGGCTTTTTATTAACACTGTCAAACTTGAAAGGAAGGAGATTTGTTGATATGTGTAATGGGGTTTGCTGAAAAGCACCATGGCCGTGAAATGAAAAACAGTCAAAACAAGGAAACATCTTTTGAAAAGGAACATTTTTTTCTTCCCTAAGCCTAGGGCCTCCAACAACCATTTCAACAGAACTAGTGAGATCTCTTTCTCCCTTAGTGAAGACTACTAAGTGCTTTGGACTTGAGAAGCTAAATGCAGAATTACCCTTCATCTTTAACATCAGCTCTACAGAACTTATGCAGCAGTGTTTGACCCACAGCCTACTTAAATAACATATCCTCTCAAAACACAGTGCGGATCAATACCACTATGCCAATATTTTTCTTGGGTGACATCTAATTTGAGAAGAATTCCTGCACTTGAGTGCTATGTAAAACCTGCACAGGAGAAAGGGGGACTCGTGCAGGTGCCTTCCACTGGGCTGCATTCTCCTCACTGTTCATGGACAATACAGCTCCTGAGATGTAACAGTGTATTCAAAGACTGCTATGGATTGCGTATTCTGCAGCTTGCTTGTAGGCTTGCTGCTATAAACCTACACCATAAACCCTTTTCATTCTGTTAATGTGTCTATGAGTTTTGAGGGTAGGAAAGGCTGTGTGCATTTACCCAGTGCAGAATATATCCCAATCTGTTACAGACCGACAAGAGAAGAAATCAACCAGAATGAGTTTCATTTGTTTGGAAGCTCTGTGAAGAAACATAATATGAAGAAAATACAGAGGTATTCTTGTCTTCAGCAGAAAACTATGGCAAAGGAAAAGACCATAACCTATCACCAATTACTGAGTAAGAGACTAGCAGTTTTTAAAAAATATATGAATTAGAGCTGTGTTCCAGCTGGGCATGAGAAAAGATGGTGATCAAAATAAATGAACTGGGGTCAAAATTCAACAAACTGTCAGCCTCAATTTTACTTCTGTCTTCATTTTATGATAAAAAGGTGTGTTAGAAACAACCGCTGGAATCAATCCCAATTTATCTTCCCAGTATTCAACTAAGATCTGATCCAGCTCCTACTGAGGTCAGTGAAATGCTGGTTCAGTAAGAGATGGATGAGGCCACGGAGCAGTTCAGCTGATCCAGAGACCTCCTCAGTACCAGCTGAAAAGGAGCAGTATCAGCATCACTGCCGAACTTCAGGCAATGCTGTGGCTCCTGGTGTTCATGGAGCATGCGAGGATCAAGGGGCTGAAATAAAGGGCAAAATAAATCCCACACAGGCAGGTGGTAGCAGACTGCCAAGAGCAGCTCAAGCCACAAAAGCTATAGCGTCATTTCTTCGCCATGACAGAATGAATGCCACAGAAGAGAGTATCACACACGAGAATAACAACAGCGTTTCCTTTCAAACTTTTATACTCACTGCAGAATGAAAATCTCACAGAACATTGAAGCTACTTTTGATTCTCCTCATGATGAAAAAAATTACAGCAAAACAAGAAGTTTTTAAACAGCGAGGCAAACCCAAGCACTTTCCTGATGAAACAAGCAGATGATGCTGCAGCTCCTGGATCTTTCTTTGTGAGGCAAGCAGGAGAAATGGATGAATAAAATTAGGACTCTGAAAGGCTTGTAATGCAATCAGAATGTGTGAAAATTTTTAAATTCAATTATTCCATTGCAAAATTGTCCAGTTGCATATTTGAATGTAGGGATACCCTCTTTCTGTGGGGATTTCACCGGATGGACCCAAGGTTTGCTACAGTACAGTAATTCCTGTCTTCGGTAAAAGTCTTGGGGATGACAGCGAAAATCTAGTAATTCCAATGAGTTCTGGACCACATCCTGAATGTGAACTGACATTGCATCCTTGACTCTTTCTCAGCACACCAAAAAAACAGGTTTCTGTATGCTCTTTTGTTGAAAAGCACAGGTTTTGTTATTGCAGAAGGATCCGAATTAGAAGCGAGAAATAAAGTCATTCCAACACATACTTTTTTAAGCAATATGGTGACACTTCTTGTTAAAGCAACATGTGTGATATGACTGCAGCCCAGAGTGGGCAATTACGCTGGTAAAACTCAAGGCAGAGCAAGTGAAGGATGGACATTTACTGTTAAACGGTTGTTTCAGAGAGGCTACTACTAAACTGCTCTAAGGCTTCTTTAATTTTGCTGCCTTGCTTAACAAGACTCCCCAAAACGTGTTTGACATCTTGCCTCTAAACAGTTTACGTAAATGGCCATTCCTCCACCCTAAGTGTGTCAGGTTTAAAGTACTCTGAGGTGAAACCAAATCACTGATCTGACAGTCTTTGGGCCCAGCATTCACTTCCTCAGTAAAAACGCCATTTCCAATATCAACCTCCAAAAGAGAAAACCGCTTGAGAATAATTGTTGTTTTCTAGGAGGAAAACCTTGCGCTTCATTCTCTGCATGGGCCTAAGTCAACAATCAACTTTTGTCTTCATGATGAAGTTACAGCACATTGATGGCACGTTGCAAAGTCATTCTGCCCTGTAACAAAGAGTTCAGCTCCACTATGAATCCCTTTAAAATAGATTTTAAAAAAAGAACTAGAAAGGAAAGTAGCTGTGTTTGTAAGGTGTGGGAAGCAAAGCTATTTTAGGCTCAGAACAGCTTATGAAAGCCAATGTTATATGGCAGCAGCTCAGATAATCTTCTTTATCCTAAAAAATGCTGGGCTGAGGTTTTTGCTCAGGCAGTTTTAGGCATTTGTGAACTCTCACCAAAGTGGCGAGTAGGTAAGTGAACTATTCCTAATTGTTACTTGACCTGCCGGTCACAGTTCTATAATAGCTGGAGCCTTCCTTTTTCATGCAGCTGAAGAGTAATGTCGAACTGCAGATGCCCAAATATGACCAAGCCATCAGGACCACCTACTTTCCAGAGATCAAAAGTACTTCAGATTTCTATTGTTTTCCATCATGTAGTATGAGCACTACAATTTTTGCAGGCTTGAAAATCACACAATTTGATTCATTTCATTATTTTTTTAGGAGGCAAATGGGAGAAATCTCCTGTGAACATCAGCAGCTCCTTTCTTCACGCGCTGCGATATACTTAGGCACTAACTGCGAGAGAAACTGCAATGAGTCACACAAGGCTCAATGCAATAGGAATGCATCTTGGCCTCACTCATCTTTGTGTTCTCTAGAGAAGCAGAAAGTAACCTCACCATAAGCAATAATATAGCCATTTTACTTTGAAGGCAGGATATGAACATGTACCTCTGAGCTTCACTGGAGTGAATTTACCTTTACTTTAATTTGGTATTGCTGATTTCAAGTTAACTTTTAGCATGTTTTTTTGGCTGCCACTTTGTGATCTCTGTGGACAAGCTAATTTGTTCCAGGCATCGCAAATTTTAGATCTTAGATCCCCTCCCTCGGATCTGTTTGTAATAATTTGTGCTTTGTGTCTTGTCAAGCCTTAATATTTGTTATCCAGAAATGAAGATGAGGTTTATTTATTCTTGGAAAAATAAGCAAGTCTTAGACATGAAGTGTATTTATATGTGGATAGTTTTCTCAAATAAAGCCAATGCTTTATTTGTTGTATGAGTTTGCTTTTCTTAAATACAAATATACGAACTTGGAGACTGCCTTGAGAATCCTTAAAAATTTAAGCTAGAAACCTTCATACTTCAAAATGTTCTGTTTCAAATTTCAAAAAGCATCCTTCTGAAATTGGAAAGATCATTAATGATTCAAGACTTCAAACCAAAAGTGACCTATGGAATCTAACCATAAAATATAACTAATTTTAAAATCCAACAGTATTCTCACATAAACCACCGTGTAATTTTCATCTTTGCATATACACAAATTAGACAGTTTGTATATACGAATAAAGGCTTCAAGAAGATCTGACCTACAATCAAAAGATCATCTTATCTATTGTCCACAACATTCAGGTGTAGCTCCACATACAGATCTATACACGAAATACAGAACCCATTTAAGAAAAAACACTGAAGTTTTAATTTTGATTTTCACCATAATATAGTTCGACTGCTGTTACTTTACAGGAAGAAAACATGAGAATGACTGTAGAGAAAGTTGCTGTGACATTAAATAGAATAGGAAGTTCTTGAGTCTAAAAAAAATACATCTGTTTTAAAAGGGTAGCTGACGGTGCTTTTTAAAATAAAAAAAATGTGAGGTTATAAAATAAACAGGAAGTCACTTTTATATTTAGAAATACGGATTAAAGATTTTTGCAAGACACATACTTCAGCAGGTAGTTTAACATCTTTACTGGAAACAGTAATTTAAGCTCTGCCAGCTACTTTTTGGCACATGTTCACATTTGTCTGAGCAGAAAAGCTTCCAGTAGACAACTGACCTCTAAGATTTCAAACCTCATGTCATCATCTACCTTGTATGAACTTCATCCATCTGCAGGGCTGGGTCATGAGTTAACAGTTCTCCTCAACCCTGAAGTGCTAGGGAGGAAGACTGCCGCTGACAACGCTACAACGCCCTTTCCCATCCAATGCCAGCTTTTGTCAAAGTACACCTGGTTTGTAGGGTACAGTACAAGAGAGGAAAACCCCAGGTTCTCCAAGACCTACCTCTTCCTGATTTCCAAAACCCTTTCTTTTACATACGAAAATTTATGCCCTTCTCCCTTGGGCCACAGTCCACGTTGAGCGTGCTTGCCAAAGGAAGGGTATTGAGTCTTCTTTGGCGGTCCATAGTAATGTACAGATACTTTATTCTATGCTAACAAGGTTTGTTTATACTCTAAGAAAGTGTAAGAATGGAGGATAAAGTGTCATTATATTTAAAAATATGTTATTGTACTTCTAATTTGACTCAGATTATTTTTAAGGGAAAATATAAGAATGCTCTTACTCTTTGGGGTGCGTATGCCAAAACTCTAACAGTAAATTACTTTTAAATGTTGCAGTTTTCTTAAACTCAAAACACCACACACTGATTTTATTATTCTGGATTTGTTGGTGGTTTCTGCTTGGTTTTGGTTTTTCAGATTTGCCATGACTTTCTTCCTGGGGATGGGAATTTTACAATGGCAATTGCAACCTCCTTTACGGGTATCTTTGCATGTGTATGGAAAACCTGGGTCAGTCATGATGTTCTCAGAGTAAATCATTCCTTGAATCCACCAGTCCTGGTACACCTGCCACTTCTGTGCAGATCAGGGAAACGCTGAAGGCAGATAGCCTGGCCAGGGGTTAAAAGCCTCCATGCACTTGCCAACACCAGCTGAACTAGGTGTTGGCTTGAGGCTTTAAGTCTCGGGGTCAATTGTCTACTCTCCAAGTCACTTTTTTCCTTGGAGAAGGGTGGAAGCATGCCAAAAAACTATCTGGCAAGGCTTAAATGAACTGCAGCTCGCTTACTAGCGGTCTGGATTTTCTTCAGACAATAAGAATTCTAGCACTGCTGCCCAGAAAGTGGAAGAACTCTTTTCTGGGGAGAACTATATACGGTGTGATAGTGCACACTCACGGGGTCTGGGAGCTGCTGTCTTATACAGGAGCCACTTACTCTGCACTAACTGCCCTGGTACAGACTTTACACTGTGGGGTGAAAACAGGCTCGTTAATGGCAGTTAATGTAGGTAACTACGGTAGCTACCAGGGTGTAATTGCAACTTGCTCCTGGATGAGCAAACATTTCTTGTGCCTTCCACAGCATCTTGCAAAGGAATTCAGTGTGTGTTTTGCACCTGAAGGTTTAGGAAAGGCTTAGGAAGGAGAGAGCATCCAGCTGAGGAGATGGGGAGAGCAGTAGTAAGGTGCAGCAGAATGAAGGAAGAGGGATGCTGAAGGGGGACAGCATGTGAGTTGGTCACAGAAGAGTTCTGCAAGACTCAGAAGGTCAGGAGCTTTGGTTGTCCCTGCAATAAGCTCAGTCCAAATGACATCTCTTAAGTCCTGTTAGGATGTATTTGTCCCACAGGTCACGTCATAAAACTGTCCATAAGTGTGTCTGAGACGTGTCAGGATGACATTATTGTGGATTTGTCCATTCTGATCTGTCCTAGCAGCTATATGCTGATTTTGGCAATTAGGGGAGTAGGAATTCAGAATTCTCGTGAAAGGGAAGTTGCAATCTACTCAAAGAAACCCATTTCTTTCGTTCATTTCTTAGAAAATGTGCTGTTGCAAGTCCCACAGACAAGGCAGGAAAAATTTATATCTGTATCATATCTAAGTGCCTGGAGGATAGCAAACTACTCGGAATACAAATAAAACTTCTGCCCTCAACTCTAACAGTGTAAAATAAAGCTCTGTACTATGCTCTTTGTTTAGCAAAACAGCGAGTCCCACTGAAGTCAACAGAACTGCTCATGTGCTTAAAGGAGGACTGGTGCTTAGCTTGTCAAATCAGGGGTCTGGGATAAAATTTTCCAAAACGACTCTCCAGCTTAAGAGCCTATACATAATTGCATTGCAGTGACACTGAGGCTGTTCAGTCACTGTGGTACTTTTTCAAATTTTACCCCAAATCCTAGCTCGGAAGCCTCACAGGTCCCTGAATTGTTCTAGGAAATAGAAGATTATTCTGCAAAAGACTTTAATGAACTCAGAAAACAATCAATGCAAAATGATCTAGACACATGTTTCTTCTTGGGCCATTTGTGGTCAAGATTATTTATGAATTTCAACTTGCCATAAAAACAAGGAGAATCTCTGATGTACAAGTAACATGACGCAGTAAAGGTTTTTCTGAGTAGATGTCAGGGTATACCTGGTAAGGAAACCAAGATGCCATTTTACCTGACAGAGAATACAGGAGCAGGTGCTCTAAACAAGTCCTTCTCAATGTCTGCAGAGCCACGGCTGCCTTGGCGATTAGTAGCAACCACCAGTCACAGAAAATCCACAAACCACCTCGTGCAATGCTTTCACAAGCAGACACAAAGCTGGCTAGGCCCTGGACATTTATTTCCCCCTTTTTGTCACTGCTTTGTAAGAATGATATGTGCATATGAAAGATTATCTTTTTCGCAACTAATTGCAAGGGTTTTGCTGTCTGTTTTCTGATATCATTCAGTCCTTCACTATCCCTGGGCCAGACGCTGAAGAAAACTTCCCTTTTTCTGAGCAAGGACAAATTATTTTTAAATAGGATTAATCCGTAACTTCAATATGTGCATTTGCGCACGTTTGTGGGTCTGATTCAAAGCCAGTGAACTCATTAAGCTCAGTATCAGGCCCTAACCAATTATTTTAAAACTAAATTTTAGCACTGTTCTATAAATATCACTCTTTCACTTTCTGGCCCTGTGAATGCGGCAATGTTTGCTATTGAGAGGTATGCCTGATAGGAGCAGTGAGTCAGGCGGATTTCCTGAGGAGCAACTTCCAGAGGCAGAGACAGCATGTGAGGTTTCTCAGTTCCCAAAAATACCAATTAGATGGTCTCCTGACACAGACAGACTGCTAAAAAAAATGACTTTCGCTAAAATAACTGCATGCCTCCTGCCCAGATTTAAAATAAATCACTTTCTTCTTGAAATATGCCAAACAAAACTCATCTGGGCATCCAAAGAGCAACGTTGCTAATGAGCAAGCCTGTCCTATCTGACAACTGTAGATACGTAAGGTGCGTGTAGAAAATTCAGTCAAATGAGGACCTTGTAGCAAAACAGCAAAAGGGTGAGTTTCATACAGGATAAAAATGACAAGATATGAATAAATTACAATTTGGAAGGCAGGTTCAGAAAGAAGTTTCATTTCAAAGACCTGCTGATTAAACCACTGCATACTCCTGTAAACATTTTGTGGTCTAACAGATCACTTTACACTTAGAATAATCCTTGCTTTTATTAATATGCTGCATTGTTCATATATTTGGACCTAATTTTAAAAGCAAATTAAGGTTTTTAAGATGAAACTCGCTGCCTCAGGCTGCATCTCAATTTGGGTAAAAAAAAAACACAACACCACATCAGCTAAGCTAACTGATTAAAGAAAATATTTTCCTTATGGTTGATCTGAACCCTCAGGTGCATTCCAGCATGGTGGCCTGCTCTGCCAAAGACTGCACACCTCCAGGTGTGGTTAGGGTTCTGAAGATAATGTCATTTGCTTGGTTTTGATACCATATTTTCCTGCTTGGAATGGACAAATAAGCAAGGATGTAAAACATGACAATTATAAAATTAGGCACAAAAGACTTAACACAACAAAAGCAAAGGAATGAGACCAATACTGTGAAATCTATTTCAAGAGGAAAGGAGACAGAAGCACAGTACATGGCTGGATCAAGCTGTGTGCCAGAGCATACAATTTTATTGTGTACCTTCAAAATAAATATTACACTGTAAGACTGTACTCACATCCACCTCGCCTTGGTCAATCACGTAGAAGTTGTCTCCTTCATCACCTGGAAGCAAAATACAAAAAGTGATTGTTTCCTGAAGGTCTGCTAAACTATTGAATAATTTCCTGTCTCCAGATTTAATCCTGTACATATTTGCACAAGTTTGTACACCAAATTACTTACAGAGAGATTCATTTTCTGAAACATTCTTGTCTATTTGCCTTCATAAATCAAAATATCGCTATGATTTCTTCCTATTAATATCTTTCAATTGCATTAATTTATCTCTTTTGATTGATTCACCACTTCATTCAGTGTAAACACACAAGAGGCTTTAATATAGCCTGAGGGTAATGAAGTCCTCCACAACACACTGCAAGCATGCAGGTAAGTTGCCAAATGTGATAACGACACAGCACAATGAGGTGTTGAATATTCCCAACAACCATAAAAATATTTTCCATCTCTAATTACTCTCAGCTAGCCTGTGCCACCCTTACGCATTCTGATCTGTGCATTACTTCCTGACTATCCTCAGTCAAGAACATTTTAATCTGAAGTGCAATTTATCTACATTTAACTGTAGCACTTTGAAACCCCGGAGATCTACCAGCGCGGCTTTGTGGGAGACCTCTGTACATGTAGCAAAAGACCTACATCCATGAACTTCTGATACAGCTACACACTTAGACGCTTTCAGAATATGGTTATTCTTCCCATTAAGCAAAGAGGGTGACATCTCAAATGGAGAGATGTGAATTGTACAATCTTAGGAAACATACAAGGGAAAAAAACAAGGGGAAGAATTACCCTGTTGTATGACTGTTTCTCCTGCGATGTGTGTGACGGGGAACATGGCATCGAATATGTCACTGGAAAAGAAAAGAAATATTTATTAATGAATCAGACCTATTTCTTATCTAGCCAGTAGACTACCATAATTGTTTCATCTTGCCTTCATTAACAGATTTTGCAGAAAAAGAAAAGAAAATTGTTAGTTGTAAGTGGAAAGTGAGTCCCTGCTCGGCAAGAAATCAAAATAACTAGTTTGGCACAAGCTGTGGTTTAAAACTAAGTGAGACTGTGATTCAGTGCATGCTATTTTGAAACAATTCCTGAATTATATGCATATAGGCCACTTCTTATAGCATTGCAGAAACTAGCCAGCTTGAGCATTTTATTGTCTAAGCAGACAGATGTCAGATTTTCAGCTGCGACCGGTATGTGTCACCACAGTAATTGCTAGATGTCTAAACGGGAGCTCTCCTCTTCTGAACATCTGGCCTCGCGTTTACAAGCAAAACCTGTTCCACAATACAGAGCACATTTGGAAAGGTAGATGGCTCTAAACTGACGTAGCCTAAGAGCTGGCAAGAGATTGCACTCAGTGCAGAAGAGGCCAAACTGAAAATCCTAGTGAGTTACTCGTGAGAAGGGAATTTGACCAATGCTACAGAAACACCGAAGCTGCAGAGGAGCCTTGTGCTCATTAATCATCGCTGAATTACACACCTTACTGTGGTCTCCAGCATATTGTCACATAACCTTAAAAGGCCAGGCAGAGCAGTAAGGACGGCAACGCACCCGGCACCAACACTTTGGGCAACTTGCCCAAATCCAGTCCTTTGTTTATTGAGGGAGACAGCAGGCTCTGTGGAGCCAGGGCTTCCTTTCCCCACATCAGATTTTGGGGAACTTATTTTCAGCAGCATGAACCGCACCAAGATGGGCACTCCCCACCTCTCTTCCCCTTCCTATGCATCAGTCTCAAGGGCTAAAGGAAATAGCTCCCCGACACAAACAAAAGGCAGCAAGGAGGAATTGTTAACTAGCCTCTCCCCTGGTCTGGTCTAAGAATGGTCCATCCAGAGACCACTGATGACAGCAGCAAGAGACGTGCTTCAGCCTGGAATGGAGCACAGTCCTTATAATCGTAACGGAATGCAAACAGTGAGGAAACCTAAAATTTTCACCAGAACAGCCAGAAGATCAGCAAGCAAACCCATGCTACATTTCAATGCCTTATATGGGAAATGCATATTGTAAAATCCCATTATTAGCTTATTTCCTGCTCAACTGTTCCAGAATTTATTCAGGCTCAGTTCTAGGAAATGTTTCACTCCTAAGTTCAAATTGGTCATGTCTTTCCTCTTCAGCAGCCAGAATGTTTTTGCTCAGTATCACAGCTCTGTGTCAGCACCACTTGTAGGAGAACTGGGAGATTTCAAACCAGGCACCTCCTGCTGCTTTGCAATACCTGCAAGGGATGCTTAGCCCATGACCTGTAATAAAATTATTTATTTTATCCTTGCTGTTTGATCAGGCCCACCTTGTGCTATTCCTTCTCACATTCAGCAAACACCTCCATGGGTAAAAAGCCTGTTCCAAGGCTCTAAGGCAAAACCTCTTCCTCACCTCATTCTGAGCACCGATGGGAACACCTACAATAAATTATTCTGAAACGTATGTGGACTGTATTCTTAAATCCCCTTTTAATGATCTTAAATGGGTTCAGCATTTCCCCAGTTCAAGGGGCTTCTCTGTTGGCAGAAAACAAGCACTGATCTGGTGCAGGCTGTGGAGCTGGTTCCTGTGCCAACCCTCAATGGCCTCAGCCTGAAAGAAATGGGAGCTGAGGTTCCGATGGGATGGGAAAAGCACCATGGTGGTAGGTGCCGAACTGGAACAGCCACCGAAGGAACTTCTGTCGGCGAGGCACGTCAAGCTGCTCTTCAGGACCTCTGGGACCTGGAAATGCAGTATGCCAGAGGCTCATTTGCCTCCTGTGGTTTCCCCTTGGCTGCGCCTGGGCACCTCACCAAGCTTTAAGAACCATCCTGCAGCCTGCAGAAGATTTACTGGAGGAAAAGGCACTCCACATGGCAGAAAGTCTTCCACGCGATACATCCAAAAATAGGCACGACACTGTGAATATCAATAACCAAACCAAAATGTGACTGTTTGAACAAACTCAGAAACTTTTTTTTTAAATAGAAGTACAGAGGAAATAATTACCCACAGTTTCAGCCTTTCATCTTTGTTTTAAGGCTGTATTTTATTTATAACTTAACAATTGGCTGTACAAACAGTGCCCAATAAATTATGTATAGCACTGCACCCTTCCCAAAATGTTCCACATCTCATTTCTACAATACCTTTTAGTTTTATTTAAAAACCCTCTTTAAAACTCACAGACTAAAACTTTGAGCCGACAGTGCAATGAACCCAAAGTCTATCAGCAGCACTAATATTTACAGAGTAGCAGAATACTTCTGTAAATATTCTAGCATCACATATTGATGTGTTTCAGCAAAGTTTCTGTCTTATTAGGCTAAGACTTGGATTTTAAAAGAGATTTTTGAAGGACACGTCATCAGTCATTAGCCTAAAACACATACAAAGACACAGACACACGTGGTACCCAAAGACATGGTGATGCTGATTTACATCTCCAAAGTGAAAATAAGGCATATCTTTGAGAAATAAATGTAAGTGACCTGTAATATCACAGATGTCACCGGAAACACATCATCATGTTTCTCTTCTACTAGGCAACTATTGTTCTTCATCGATATGGTTAGGCCAAGATCTCTCACAGTGATTAATGAGTCAGAGAGTTTCTGCTTTTGGATGCTCAATTTGAGATTCACTAAACAGACTCAGACCTCAGATGATATGGATCAGCAGGCAGCCTCAAAGTTTCTCAACCTACAAGTCTGACAGCCAAAAACTGGGACATTCGGAATACCACCAAAGAAAAACACCCTTCTGGAAATTATCATCTCCCAAAGTTTAAGGTCCCTGTATGAAATCTGGCTTTTGATTTAATTCAGACTAAGTGTAGAATCTGTTTGGAAAATTTTCTTATTGCCTTTATTTGCAGTGTCTGAAATAAATACAAAAATGTCCCAAGGATCAATGTGCCAAAATACTTTGAAAATTTGAAAAATTTGTTCCTGACCCAAGCCAAAATCTGAAGCTACAAGAAGCAGACATGTTTTCCATCTCCCCCACAAACATCTTATTCTCCATATTCCGTTTCAGCCATGTGTCCAGGGTCCATACTACACAGAGAAAACAAATAAAGCTTTAAATACTGAACGAGTTAAGAAACGACACCCGCAAAAGGCATAAACAATGTGGCCAAGGCCAAAACTATGGCCTGTTGGTTTTTCCTTTACCGTGCACCTGTTTTTAAGTCATTCAAAATCACCCTCTGACCATTATGGTAAGAAAAAGCCCTTTCAAATACAGCACTGCAACGTTCTCACCATCAAGCACAGACTGTAGCCACATTCTCTTACAGCTCTGCAGAAGTAGGTAGCTGTGTTTCATGGTTTTGAAGGTTTTGTTAAATAATTAGGACCAGACACACACATACACACTCCTAACAACCAAAAATTTTTCAAACACAAGCAGGTTTTATTCCAGCGTAAACAGAAAGCCAGAAAATCAGTAGCAAAGCCTTCACTCAATGCTGAACTACCATGATTTCATCTTCTGTCCGAGCTGCAGCACCATGAACACAGCAGCCTCTGTCTCCTGCCCTGCCCCAGCTCTTTAACTGTTGACACCAACCGTGCTAGCAATGCTGTGCGCTGAATTGATAGCGAAACGGCTTGATTTTTTGCCAGGATTTTAATGGTTGTGCTGTAAATGAGAACTGCTCAGAGGGATTTCCTTACTTTGCTGAAAATGTAGCGTTTGCCCTGTTTCCAGATAACGTATTCAGGTGATGCAAGAAGAAAACAGGGCACCAGTTCTGGTTATTTCAGCCGTTGTTTCATGAGACTGCAGCCACGAGAGATGCACTGCACCCAGCGCAGCCCAGGCTCAGAGCCAGGGCTCGGAGGGCTCTTTCTCACCTTCTCCAGAGCCAAAACTTTTGATAGGCTTCCCTACCCACTTCCAGATTTGTTCCAATCAGAATGCATCAAGGACAATTTTTGGCTTGGAAGTGTTGTTGCAGGTGGGACTGTACGGACCTGAATATCCACGTTTGGATGCAAAGGGAGATGCTAGCAGGACATTGCTAATGTTTTCCAGGGGGCTTTCTGCACATTTAATTCTTTGTAACTTATTGATAGTATCATTCAAAAACAAGTCACAAGAAAAGATTGTGAGCAGCACAGAACATACAGAGAGCAGTTAACAAGTCCAACAAAGTGAAACCAAGAAATGCGTTTAGACATGAAATCTCCATCTATTCAGTCAAAAAATACCATCTGTCTTCTTAGGGAATATCAAAATTTAAAAGACTATTTTTAAAAAGGTCAAAGATGTCCAAGGCTTGTAGCAAGTTTTAACACATGAAGTGTCTTCCATGAGTGTACAAGAGAAGTGCAAACAACTGTGATCAGACCTGAAATCCCAGGGGCTGACACTCTTTGTCTGTCATCTGTCACGACTCCTGGCCACCTCTCCAGGCTGGGCCAACTCCCTTTTCATGCAAAGAAGGAGAACTCCACCTGAATCAATGAGAATGCAGTACCTAGACCAGCAAAGAGTCTATCACAGTGATTGCAAAATAGATATGATGAAACATTTTGCTGATTTAATTCCGTAGCATTTTATAGACTTCATTTGCCAAGCTGCAAATGACTGTGCTATGAGAAAGCCAGGAGAGAGGGCAGGGCCAAGGGGTTCTCTTTCTCACGAGAAAAAGTGAGTGATGAAAATAAATAATCTCATCTGCTTTTACACCGAGGCTGCTTGGAGTTGACACAAAATGTGAGGTAGACAAAAAAAATAACGTGCACTGCAGGTAATACAGCACCAGCAATGGGCAACCGAGGAGAAGCCTGTTAAAACAAAGCGAGAGAAGGAGGATTCCGAGCACTTTCAGAACCAGACCATGGCAATAGCCAAAATA